CTGCTGGAGGATGCTTGTAGGCAGAGGACTGGCCCTGGAGAGAACAAAAGAGACGACATAGCGTTGGGGGAAGAGGGTTGGGGAGATGATGGAGGTAGGAGGAAAAGGAGTGACGAGAGCAAGTGCGTCATTATATGCTCTCGATCTTTGGTACTCGATTATGTAATCACTTCGATATATTGTTTAAAGGTAAAAACAAATTATATTATAAGTCTGAAAGAGTGATTGTTAACATTATTAATATATATAATTGTATATTATCTTACTAAAAGTATTGTAATTAACTTACAAGCACAACATATTACTTTTATGACTGTTATAATTAATCAACTATTGTTACAGATAACTTATAATATAATTTTAGCATATTATAATAGGAGTTGAGCACTTGTACCTCACATGTAATGTTGTAATAATACTATTAGTAAGCTTACTTGCTCTAAAACATGTTTGTAGTTTAATAGAAACTTTGTATATTTCTTACATTTATATACAATCATTATAATTACATTATAAGTAAAATATAAGTGTTATTTTAGAATGTAATGCTTATAAAATCATTTTATTAGATTACCTTTGCTATTATTAAATACATTTGTTGCGACTTTTTCGTGATGGCAGTGCCCGCCACAAAAGATACGCCCTTTCTAGCATTATCCCTCACAGACCTATCCAAACTTTCTTTTAGTTCATTGGCTCGAATGCACAATTGCACACATAATCAAAAGCTTATCATCCTCCTGACTACTAGTATTCAGATGTCTCAACCTCTTTCATCTCAGATCCGCAATCTACAACTCACAGAATCAGAGCTCTTTACAAATAAAAGCTTCCCTTTTATCTGAACATTTTATAACGTAGAAGAACGTTAACTAATACGCAACAGATCTACTTATACAAACTTAATACAGAAAAGTTGTGGCCATTTACACCATACATCCCTTGTTCTTACTCTTTCAGCTACCTCATTGATACACAAGCGTTCGCATTGTCTAGCGACTAAATTCAGACGCGGACAGAACAATACGTTTGTCCTACTCGTACTAAGATAGGGAGGTAAGAAAACTATTCAGCTCTTCACTTGCTTTGCTTCTGACTGTCCATCCGGCCACCCAGGGTATAAATTCGAGCGAATAAAGGCTTTCCTCTTTCTTCGCTTGCACCTTTGCATCCATCACCATCGCCTCTGGTTAGACATTGTGTTGCCCGCACTCCTCTGCATAAACTAACATCACGCTTTGCACCAGATCTCCACAGCCGTCACTTACTAGGAGCTCTGTTCTATCACGTCCTTGTGTCTTCCGTTGGCAAGTATGACGACTCAGCTGACAGTCATAGTTCGTCCACACTTGTGGCTCTCGCCTTTGCGCACAAAATATGAGCAGGAATGGGACCAGAAGAATAACAATCAGGCGTCTTATAAGGATATTATTCGAATGATGCTTTCATGGCTATCTAAGCTGATGGTTTATGCTCGCCTACAACATAATGCGAGTCAGAAATACCACGCTAGCTCCGAGTTTGAGGTTTCCACTGCAGCAAGCATTTGCGAAATTCCTGAGCCAGAGGAGTTTGCCCCATCAGAGGACGACCCAATCCACATTCCAGCTCCTCGACAGGACTACCATTTAAAGCCACAGGAAGAAGATCGCTTTAGCCATATCGTTCATACTAGCGACATCAACTCGGACACATTCCGTGGCTTTATTCGGATTTTCGTAGCTGATAGGCCGTTCTACGACCCCAGCGGCCCTCCAGAATGGTCTGCGGAATACAAGGCGCTGTACCAGATTTGCGGACGTAGCTACGCACAGAGTCTTACGGAAGACGGGTATTCAGTACTCCACCCGGTAAAGGCACTCGATGTGAACGAAGTTGCGGAACTAGTACGTATCAATTCCAAGGGCGTCATTGGGAATCGCACTGTATACCACATCATCAATGTTAAGATCTTTGAGGAAGCGTCACCATATAGCGAGACCGAATTCTCGGCTCTCCCCCCGTCTCGACCAATCTGTAAGCGACCTACAAAAGTCGGTCATTCGCCGGGTTGCAGGTGCTCCAAGATGTGGTAATAAGGGAGATACATTGCCCTATCAACGCAATCGAAGGCAATCATCCCGACCTTACTGGACCAATCAATCGAAGCGTCTCGAACATTCACCCAAATAAACTAAACTGGAGCAATTACAGATTAGTCTCTCAATAGTTTTTCCTCCCTGATAACTTGTTACTCGTCGACATTTGTAGCGAATAATTTTGGATTCTTCACCGCGTCTTCAAGTTACGGAAGACAATATCTGCAGGTACAAGCCTAGCCACCCTTTCCCCTGTCTCGTACACAGTAGCATGTCATAATAGATGGCTTGGCGAAACCGCAACGCAAAACGATTCAACCGTTAATGTACTGTAGCAATTCTGCAATTTCATTAGTGTGTTATATAGTTGCTGATGTCCGGTCCCGGACCGCTCGGACTCGGTCCGGACGCAGGACTGGACTGATGGACCGGTCCTCTACAGTCCGGTCCTCATGGGTCCAGGAGAGGTCCGGTCCTGGGTCCATCATTTTGAGAAATTTCCCGGACCGATGGACTCGTCCGGACCCGGACTGGACTCCGGACCTGAATAACCTGAACTAATGTCTCAAATCTCGTTTCCCATATCTCTAGCTCACTATACTAAAACAGATCATACTCCTTTAAGGATCTTTGAATATTAGCTAGCACTTGCATAGTACATTTTACAAGTTTCTGGCAGTCCAAGCAAAGCAAAACTTTATTCCTGTTCTTTACTGTTCAATGTATGGCTTACTAAACTTGACTCTTCCTATCTGGTTATTGTCTCCCGAAATATTTATTCCCTTTATGTATATTCACTCCTCTCCCGTCCTATGCCAAAGACACCACAGTCCCAGCCGCCCTCCCCAGTCAAGCAGCCAGCCAATGCCCCTGCCCCTGACAAATTAGACAAGATGTCCGAAATCACTCTCAGAAGAAGACGCTGACGCTCAGGCTGCTTTCCGTGCACGCCGTGCCAACTATTATGCCACCCCTCGAAGAAGACAGGTCCGTCTGCTG